ATAAAACAGATAACAAATGATCGTGGTCCCTTTGAGTTTGTTTTAAAGGGAGTCTACTGTAGAAGCGAGGTTAATAGCTCTGCTGTAGTGCATCCCAGGCAGCGTGTCATACATCATGTAATAAACATTGTTCAGGAGCAGTAGTACAGTACATTATTGCTTAATGAATATAGAATTTGTCATCGCATGCACATTCTATTGGACTAAAAGCTTTGCATTCTATCGCTGTGTTCATGTTGTGTTCCATCACTGCACAGTTAAGGATGATACCGCAAAAGAGGGAGCAAGCCATTTCTGACTGTTTTTGACAAGCGATACTTGATTCCCAGCAGAATGCTGTAAACGTTTGGCTCGCATGTTCACAGAAGTCTCGACTACATTTTGGAATGTTTTGTGTGTTCAAAAAGTGTCGCAGAGCACCTTGCAATACTCACAGAATTTGAGAAGGCATTGATTGGATTCATTACCCACCTTTAATTAAAAACATTCTTTGTTCAAATGGTTTCTTAAGCAAGCCTGCACATGAAATTAAGAATCACGTTCAACTGTTTCCGATTTACTACATCTTCATTAGTTAATTTAGATAAAATGCTGGGCAGTGCATTCATAAACCTTGTACAGAAAGGTTGCAGCCTGTTATACTACAACTTGCACCGTTTTGCTTGTGGAACCATGAAATTTTTTTTAAACATACAAACCCTCTGTGTACCATCCCTACTCACCAACATTTTACTGCCAACTTCTATGGATACTACAGCTGTTTTCTGCCATTTTAAATGCGAAGCATTTTTTAGCAAACTGCAGGCACTTTTGAATGTTTCTATCTATGTATCTATCTAGCTGCCTACGTCTGGGTGTTCTCATGGCCACTTCCTTAACTTGGAGCTGACTGAAATTAGTATGGGAGCGCGAGTGAGTTTGACAAATGTCACTGGATAGCCATGGAATGAATAATGTGAAAATTCCACTGCGTACATTGTGAAATCCTCTTCTCGAGACATGTGCAGTACATACCTGCGAACCGTGGGCCGCGGTGTGCCTGCGCCGCAGGCGAAGAACAGTTTATATCTACCCAGGAACGACGAGAACAAACATTGGTAGTTTAAATGCATGAGCGTTAAGAAAAAAGCTGCGCTTGGCAGGGTTGACCAAACTAATGCAAATAATAAATATAAGGGCCTCAGCAGGAATTGAACACAAGCATTAAGTGTGGTAATCAAGTGCTCTACACAGAACCACATTAGGTCTCGAAACTGCGTTGGAAAAAGACCCTACACAGGCGTAACATTGGTGAAATGTGAGGTTAACATCGATTGTAAAAGGAGTACCGACATGAATTCTAAATATTTTCGGATTGTTGCTCTAAATAAAAACACCAGTGTCGACGCCTTAAAAAGTGTTGCTGTGTCTGGGAATGCACTAAATATATTTTTAATACCACTACCTTACAACAGCAATTTCAGTATCAGTATCGAGGGGGTGGCTTCGCATTGACATGTCAACACAAGTCTGATGTTACAGGAAGACTTGATTGATATGTGGGGTTTAATGTCCCAAAACCACTATATGATTATGAGAGACGCCGTAGTGGAGGGCTCCGGAAATTTCGACCACCTGGGGTTCTTTAACGTGCATCTAAATCTGAGCACACGGGCCTACAACATCTCCGCCTCCATCGGAAATGCAGCCGGAATTTGAACCCGCAACCTGCGGGTCAGCAGCCGAGTACCTTAGCTACTAGACCACCGCGGCGGGGCCTGTTACAGGAAGACTGCAACTTGCAACATACTACTAGCGAGAGTTGTTAGTTTTTTTGTCAGCTCTACATGGTTTATGAGAATGCTGACAAATAATTTGTTGCCCAGACTCTCACAGCGATTTCTCCAATTTAGGCTGCATGCAAAATGCAGGTTTAACGAACCCTGTTGACTTCTTGTCAAAATGTTCATTGCGGTGGTGCTGCTTTGCAGATGCTGGGTAAAGAAAAACTTAAAAATCAAATTAAAATATTTCATAGATGTCTGACTGCAGCATGTGCACAGCGTAGCTTGTGCACACCATAGAAACGGAAAATTACACTTTTAGGGTGCATCATAATCATGTCAGTACTCCTTTAGGTGCCATCCACTGAAGTTGGTCTACGTAACACCATCCAGGGCTACCTACCATCCTTTAAAGCATTACCACTACATACCAGCTTATGGCTTCTGATGCTGGTAATATGTACCTATGTGGCTATTGGCATCACTATGCAACTGGTTATATAAAACGTATATGTCTGTTGAACATATCTTCAGTGCTATTTCGTAACATTTCTTTCAATAAAAAAATTACACCACAGTCACTTTCCCTCCTCATGTTTCACATAACATCTCGATTCCCATGGTATGCGATATCTGCCAAATTTTAAGATGTACCATGCACAGTATATAACCCGCTCAGCTTGGCATACACTGATGGGGAATACTGCATGTTTTCCAGGTAGCACACCTTCAGTTTTACTGCACTGTGATAACATCCCCAAAAATTTTAGCTTTAAAATATGTATGCATGCTAACAACCGCATATTGTATGGAACTAATTGATCTTCAAATGACCATTTTCAGGTACGAGTATTTGTCCAGTTTCTGCAGGTAAAGTGAGGTTTGGCCGATCAATATAAGTTTTCATAAAGCTGTCATGACATTTTCTAATACAAGCTACCCCACTTTCTTTTCCAAACTTCAGAAGGTGTCAAGAATATAAGTATATCTATAGTCGATTACAACCCAACTCCGTCCATAGAGAGGTCACATAGAAGCCCCATGCAATTGCACTTGCCGATTTATCAGACGTCAAGCACCTCTTGCATATAGTATCAAGCGAATAAGTTTCCCATAGACATGTTCTAGGGGCTGGCTTTTGGACAAAAACTAGGGCATCCAGGCAAACTTCAGTAAAGATTCTGGCATTACTAATCAGCCAAACAGTATTTTAAGTAGGGACGACTCAGCTTTAATATTTAGAACCCACAGCATTTACATGATCACCAATCTTAATCATGGTCGGAACGGAAAACATCTTGCATTGCTTTCTTACATAGCTGAGCAACTGTAGGTCTGGGGGGTGGATCTTGAATGTATTCTTAGATTGTAACAGACTATAGTTACTATTTTGCATGCAATGTATACTCAAAACATATTACTTTAATAAATCCCAATGAAAATTACTCCCACAGGCATACACTGTTTGCGCTGAACGAAACCACCAAACTCTTGATTATGTTGAGCATACAAGCCATACAAGTTTACAGATTTTAACAAAACTAGAGGCAACCCTGTTCAGAATTTAGGAGCTACTCCATTCCGTGAAGGTGGACGACTGGTGAAGCCATTAAGCACTGAGGCGACACAGAATTTTGAACAACACCTTACAACTACATCTAAAATCCAGAAAGTACCTTTTGAATTTAGCATAGGCTCCTTCGTGTTTGCCATCTGAACCGCACTAGTATTTTTGCTACGAAACGCATCACATGGTCTGGTTTGCTGCACACACTTAGAATCTTGTGCAAGATTAAGGAGCCATTTGAGAAACAAGTCTTTCTGCCACACTCTCAAATTCATGACATGCGTCGTCTTGTCTGGCACAATAGCACGATTTTTTAGTCTGGCACTTCAACTACAATTTGCAGTAGCTATTATTTAACACAGGATGATTGCAGTCCTCTGTGTTTACTTTTAATACAAACACATTCAGAAACAATGTCCAAGATGGCACTAGCTCATTATGCATGGTACAGGCACTGCGTACAGTCTGGGAACAGGGCTTAACAGGGAAATGGTCAATCAAGTTCTCTACTGTGCAAATGCTACCCTAGGTGCCGTAACTTTGCATAATGCACAATCCTGCCATGAATAGCACAGTGGTGCAACAGAGTAAAGAAAATGTTTTTCTAGCTATACCAATTGCAATTTGCTTATGACATTGAGCGATTTCATAACACCAGCATTTGCAGGTCAAAATAGAAGAAAAAAAAAAAGTCAGAACAGGACAAAATTTGGGTAATGCAGAGTGTGTCTTTTACATAGAACAAAACTTTTAAAGTTCAGACTACCAGAACCAGAATTAAAATAAGCTTCCAAACAAGCAGTGAAAATGTATGGATCTCTCAATCTTCAAGGAGGGGAGGAGAAAAAAAATGATGCTCGAGTTTTACCTCTAGGAGCAAATAGCTAGTGCATTATCGGGCCTCTTATGCATTGCCTTCTGAACTGCTAGCCTGATTAGATTCTCAGTGCATGCCTCAGCAGTGCTGTAAGGAAACTGATGACTGCGAGTATAACATAGGCCATTTCACTGCATTATCAATTGCAAGCACAGTTGTTAATCCCCCACTATGTCACAATTATTTTTTCTGCAAATCAGCTAAGGGCCTACTACACGTCCGTAGGGCAACACGCAAGCCTATGCAACTGTTCTCGCCATTGATATTTCTGCTGCTGCTACTGATGTTTAAATATGTCAAAGCACTTTATAATGGGTGTGAATTTAAAACTCGCTCGTTGCTCAATACATATCTTTAGATGCCTGGCACCATTCTACACTTCCACTATGCAATATCACATGCATTAAGGAGACTTCTTCCACTGCATAACACTGATGTAGTTTTTTTCCAAAGCAGTTTCAACAAATTTCATGGCTCTGGGGTAGAAGACCTGCTTGCCATGCAGACAGCCCAAGTTCAATCCTCACTAGGACCAGTATTTCTTACTCAGTTAATTTGCATTTCATTTTTTTCAGTCAGCAGATATTACTTTTTCACCCACAACCAACAATACCAACACCTACACTAGCACCAGTGCCCGAATTTCCAAGAAACGAGCTCTTCAATGCCGTCATGTTAAAAAACCTATAGTGTACAGCAAGCCAAACAACCAAAATCCAGATACAAAGTGCTACAACAAACATGCCATAAATAGGATAGGCAACTACATGGCAGTGAAAAGAAAGTCAAGGTATGATGGGTGAGTGAACCGTTTATTCACACACACAAAAAAATATATAACAAAAAAACTGCAGCAATTTCTGGAAAGCAGCATAGTCTAAAAAAGATCAGCAGGGTGAAGAACAGCAGGCAAGACATGTGAACAGTGGCTACAGTAGTCACAAGAGAGTTTAGAAGCACAAAAGAAGACTCAAGAATAAAACAGGCAGGGGGTGTCCAACAAGGGACAGTTCAGTGCTGTCACCCACTGCTTGGACCGAGGCAAGCCACATCCTCCAGGCAACAGGTCATGGTACACGAATAAAAAGAAAACCTAGCCATAATGCAATAGACACAGGGACACTAATAAGTAGTCTACTCTATAGGGTATATAAATGGAAAGTTACAAAAGTATTCTTTGTTACACTCCTAACAAACATCCCACATACAGAGTCAAAGGTAATTTTTTTTTCTGCTTGCTCATCTTTTGGGCAGCAAAGTGTTATCCAGGCTATAAGTGCCCTCAAGTCAAGTAGACCCACGGTGCTGAAGCTACACTTGTGAATTCTTTTTATTCTTGTACCATCCTGGCTGGATTCATACTCTGGCAACTGTGCACCCTCACCATGAGGTAGGGCTAACCGCATTAAGATCAAAGTTGGTGACAGCAAAGCGCGCTGGCGGCTTCTTCTTGGGCTTCAGCCGGCTACCATCCACCATAGGACCACCCACTGCCGTCAAGTCTGCTGCCACCACGCGCCGTACCAGCGACGGAGAGCTTTGTGGCGTGACAGAGGGTGTTGTGTGGGCAGATTCACTGCCCGATCCACCGTCGCGCCCCAGGCTCTGTAGGGTTGATCCATGGTGGCTCAGCACTTGGTGCCGCACGGCATTCTCGGAGGCCAGTCTGGGCGGATCACACTTGCCAACGCCACTCACCCGGATGGTCGGTGCCCCTGAGAACACAAAATCTGCTTAGTATCCCAAAGCGAGCTATGCAGTAGGGGAAGCAAGGACGGGAAAAGCAGAAAAAAGTTTCAATGCATTTCGTTGCCCAATGCTACGTTGTGTGGCAAATAACTAGTTCCTGCCACAAGTGCCCTGTTGCTGTGTTGATTACGAGGGCCTAAAGAAAAAAAAATTGGCCCCGCATCTGCATGTAATCTGCAAATGTCTTAAGACGATAGTCGCGTGTAGAGAGAGTGAACAAAACATTTATTCGATGTTCTGCGCAAGAAAAATCTGAATGGTATTGTGGAGGCACTGCGATAGAGTGCCTCGAGTGTGCAGCGGAAGCAAACGAGCGCATCAAGTCGCACCACACGCGAGACACGAGCGCCTCCTGGCAGTTTTCTTGAAAAAGAAAGCGCTTGGCTCCGAGAAGAAAGTGCTCACCCAGAGGTGATAAGGTGTAGAACGCAAGGAGACTGATAGGTGCCACCACCTTAGCAAAGCGTTGGAAACACTCGCCTTTTCGCGCTAAGGTTGCATGGTAAGCGCAGCGTGATAAACGCTATGGTCCTTAAAATTACTTATGTATGCCTTTCCTAGTAAAAGACGCACATGCAGAATATACACGTGTTATGGTGCCCGAGACAGGCGCGATAATTGCTTTTTAATTGACAATTGCACAAGTATGAACGCCGAATCTTGAGCAACTTTGGTGGGCACTGCGGATGGGGTCTGCAGTTTCAAGTACCCGGTGCCAAAAAGAGTGGACAAAAAGACAAATGTACAGACAGACAAATTTTCGCGTCGAAGGTCCTTAAGAAAGACTAGTCTTTAAACAAGCCAAACGTACACCACCTCCACACCAGGAGTACCTTTCAGAACAGTATGACAATTGAAGTTGCACTTAAATCTTTGGAAAGCCACCTAAGCTTGTTTGTTAGCACTCAAATCATGTAAAATGCACCAGAGTTCAAATGTTCGCCTGCTGAAAAAAAAATTACCCTAGTGAAAGTCCAAAACACAAACAATAGCCAAGTGATTATAGTTACCAAACAAGAACGCATGCCATGAAGGAAAAGTGAGCAAGCATACTGCCGTGAGAATGTACAACTGCCCCAAAAGTAAAACTAAGCACGAGAGCTGTGGCTTAAGCTTGGTCTTTCGGACCAAGAAATTCATTTTTTTTAGACCACATATTTGGTTCCTGCAAGTATTTTGCCATCTCTGCAAATTTTCACACATCAGTAAGTGGTAATTTTTTTTTTTTTTTTTTAGGTCATTCTAACTGTCCAGATTCTTGGTGCTGTTAACATGCAGAACCTGCAAAAAATGGGAAACGGACTTTGAGGGTTTTTTAAAAATTTGTCGGCATTTGTGTTAGAAGCTCTGCTATGAATTTATGAGCACCTTTATGAGGATTGCAAAACCTGCGCACCATGATTGTTGCTTTTTGAAGAAGCTGTGCGTTTTCCATTTTTCTCAAAATGGAAAATTTACGACTGTGCAATTTCGAGGCCCCAATATATCTGCACCTAGGGAAGGTACAAAAATAATCCTTTTTGCAATGGAAACCTGTATGTGTGTAGAATGCAAGTATGGGAGCAGAATTTAGAGCACAAGCCTTTTTAATTACTCATCAAAATTGTAACAATTCCAAGTGCTTTTGAAAATGAATAGTTCCCTTTACTGTAAAATAACCAAGAAAGGCTTAAAAACAAACTCTTGCATACTTTCAATCTAACAACATTAGTCTATGTTGGAATATCTTGATTGATTTGTGGGGTTTAACGTCCCAAAACCACCATATGATTATGAGAGACGCCGTGGTGGAGGGCTCCAGAAATTTCGAACACCTGGAGTTCTTTGATTGATAGGTGGGGTTTAACGACCTGGAGTTCTTTAACATTCACCCAAATCTGAGTACACGGGCCTACAACATTTCTTCCGCCATCGAAAATGCAGCCGCCACAGCCGGGATTTGATCCCGCGACCTGCGGGTCAGCAGCCGAGTACCTTAGCCACTAGATCACCGTAACGGGCTTGTTGGAATATTTTAAATATCGCTTTTAATTAAGCACATTTTATGGCGGCCTGAGACAATAGGAAATGAATACAAGTTATCTCAGGAACAAGACGAGTTACAGGAAAACTGATTAAATATTTGAAATGGGCACAAAAACTGCATAATCATGTATAATGCATAACTTGATCAAGATCACTGAAGAAATAAAAAATGTCCAAGACCAGTCTGCCCCCTTATCGGGCAAAACTGCAATATTCCGAAGCTCACCTTATCCGCGGCTTTAGTGACGCCGCACTACCACCACCATTACTGTTCATCAGGTCCAAAAGTTGCAGCCTTCTTGGCAATGCTGAAAGTGCATGCCTCTAAAAATTTCATGAACATGCAAGCAACAAAAAAAGCTTCATTCGTCAACAGCATCCCCCAATGAGCAGCGTTGGTCGCAGTGCAACTCTGCTTGAGCCAGCACTAAGGCAATCAACAGAATAGTGGTACGGGTAAGCCGGATATGTCAATGCACACTCGCACCTGCAGAGCACCAGAGATGGGTAGCAGCCGACGCAGGCCACACGGCTTGAAAAGCAAGTGATACTCGCAAAGGCAGTGGGCAGATCTCGTAAGTAGTAGTGCTGGAGCTAAGCCGATCTTTTCTAAACACTGAGCAGTGCCGACCTCCAAGCCTTCAGAAACAGAAGCGGGCTACTACCATCTTGGTTTCACAGCAAGTTTAATTCATTCATTCGAAAACCAGGTTATCGAGAATTTGCATGTACACTCAATTTTTATAAAAGGGAACACTGGAGTGCGTGGCCTGCGCGCTTCGGCCGCTGCTGGCAGCACGTTCAAGCGGAAGATAGAGCAACCACAGCCTCTTTTCAAGTATTCTCGAGGCGAGCAAAACAAGCAGTCATTAATCATATGAAACCAGAGGGAAGATTGCAACCCCCTCGCCCTTCAAAGCAATTACCGGCCTCTTGCGTAATCATCTCGAAGGGGTTACAGTCTTGCAGCCGACTTCACATCAGTATAACCAGTAAATGCTTGTTTTTTCTTGCCTCAAGATGGCTGGAACAGAGGCTGTGGTTGTTTTTGCTCCCGCTTCAACGCGCTGCCAGCAGCCGTCGGAGCACGCAGGCCATGCACTCCCGCTTTCTCTTTCATAAAAATTGGCACTGTACAGTCGCGACCACGTCCGTGTAGAGCCCGCGAGGAGCCGGTTTTCGTTCTGCGAAACCTCGAGGCAGTTTCGGGCTCTGAAGAGCTGTATCAGAAGCATGTGTAGCCTAGCTGTCAGGCTGACCACATCAGAGCCCGAAAATGCGAGGTTTCACCCCGCAGAGCTAAAACCGGCTCCTCGCGAGCTTTACACAGACGTGGCCACGGCTGTACATTTCTTCACGTGTGATAAAATACGCAGTGACAAGAGGCACCTAAATTTGTGACAAGACGCTCAGTCTTGGAGCACTAGCCTTGAAAGTATGGCACTTCTCAACAATTCCGCTAGTGTATTGCAACAGAAGACTGTATAACACTACCCTTCAAGTTTCCGCATAAGCTGCTGCTTGTACACGACTGCAGAGCTCGCTGCATCGCAATGCTGAGAGCTCTGCTCCGAAATTTCCTTCAACTACAAAACAGCCTGTATGCTTGCATTCAATCTTATGGCACTATGGGACCAAGTGACGAATAAAGTTTACACAGTATAGTACGGTTCCGACTGCTTCTTTGAACATTGCTTTAAAGCATATTAGGCAAGTAAGGCATGTTTCAAGAGAAAAGCGTAGTGAAAATGGCTCAGAGAAACTAACTTTGGCATTATACACGTAACAAAAAACATGTTAATCTAGATGTAAATGAAGGTGAAAGGGAGATGTGAACCAGGCTATAAAGTGCTACTTTGCGTTCCGATGTTTAAGTGCAGCACTTTTCAGGCCCACTATAGTGGGGTCCTGCAGCTTAATTTTTACCACTCCCGTTGGGAAATGTTCCAACAAATCTAAGCAGAGAAAAGCTTCTGCATTTAGTCTACATCCAAATGCTGCTGTCACAGCTGGGAATCAAATATTCAGTAGTGCTCAGCAGTGCACCAAGGTGGCGCTTACTTGAGGAGGACACATGCAGCGAGGACTGAAAAAACGCCGCCCGCCCTACATTTCAGGTGTCTCCTCTCGATGCACAGCAGACACGCCCGGCTATTTTGGTTCCGTAAGCCACTCATTTCAGACTGTACTAACCTAATTCACCAGTGTATAATCTCAAGCTTTCAGTCTTAACATTTTACTTTGCAGGCAGACCACAAAGCACAATGCAGTGTACACACCAGTGGGGGTCTGTGAAGCAGGTGGAGTGGTTATGCGGGAAAGTGGCATGTCTCGGAGAAAGCCCGACTCTGTCTCGGGAGGGGAGCTGCACATGTCGTCCAGATTAGCCACAGTGTTGAGTCTGTCCATGTGGCTTTTCATCCAACCAGGCATCAGGGCCCTGCGGCCCGGAATCTGCTGGCCAGCCTCGGTGCTCATGTTTGTCGTGCAGTTAAAGCTGCATTAAAAATAAAACAAAAAAAGCCACACCACGCGAGCTGGTTTAACACGACGGAAAGAAGCGGCATGAGCAATTGAACACACCAACTGCCAAGTTAAAACACGCATAGTTAGAGACACCACATAGGAAAATGCGCAGCGACACACGCTAAAGAGCACAAATAGAACAATGCGCAACGTGCATACCACTACTGGCATATCCGTCAACATGCCCTTGTGGAAGGTTAAGGCAACATCAAAACAACCTAGCAACAGTCCGTCAGCCCCCGAAGGCAGGAGGAGAGTAGGGAGCGAGTGGAATACTGACTTGTATCTTCAGTACCTTAATGGAGAAAGGAATAACAGTCCTACACACTGGGAGAACGGTGCACATATTGCAAAAAAAAAAAAAAAAAGCAGGCGACAAAATACCACCACGCAGATGAAACGCCTTACATACCCAGCGAAGGTCTGCTTTACTCAAAGACGCTGCAAGCACAATAGCGCACTGCCAAGACTGCGCGGATAATTTTACGTGGAAGCATGGCAGCTTGGCAACAGCCGCGACGTAACCGTGTCAGTCGCTGTGTGCCTCTACATGGCTCGAATTACAGACTGCTCGGGTTCAACTCAGAATCGCGCGTGCGCGATTCTGAGATGAAGGGAAGGAAGAGAAAAACCTACTTTCCTACACAATGGCATGCAATGCAAATGATAAGAAACAGTGAACAAAGAAAGCCCCACTCTTTTTTTTTTTTTTACATCAATGGATGAAGATAACAAAAATTAGGGTTACCGCAACTCGACCACTAATCCGTCTCAAGCACGGCCTGCAGCGCATCCTACCAAATTAAACGGCAGGCATGAGTACTTACCGATGTTTAAGAGAAGTAAGGCATGGCCAAACTACCGATAAGGTTTCATTATTTGACGAGGACTTCTAATCAACTTTATGAAGAGCATAGCCAAGAAGTCCACGGGGAGATTTAGATTGTCGAATGCGCCTCTAGTGCGCACGCCATAGAGAAATGCGCACGCGAACGAGTATTTTTACCCGATTTCGTGCTCCCAATAAAGAACGTTCAAAGTACTAAAACCTGACTTAAATAAAATTGGTACATTTTTTTATAGCAAGCAAGTGTGACAATTTGCGCGAATACAGAAAAATATTTCTGGTCGTACATAAATTTTCGATGCTGACGGCATCTGTCGGTTCATCCGGGAACCTTCCACGCTCGGTGCGGGATTGCTCGGTCGGCTCGGACGCGCGAGCTGATAAAATGAGTTTATTTAAACTTGCGAACGCAGCTGTCCCGCGAAAGGCATTTTTGATCGGAAGCTGCGTGATTGTGGGTATGGCGACGTGCTTAACGTTGCGCTACTATTGGAAACGAAGATCCCGAAAGTACCATGGAAGCGTCGAGAAAACGGTAGGTGGAAAACGTGTATATTGCGTTATGCACTCTATAGACGGCTTTAATATATTCATGAAGAAATTGGGGCGTATGACTGGGCATGGCTAGAGTTGTTCGTCGTGGCTGCACTTATCTTTAGGTACTATTTCGCAGCGTACAGCGTGCCATGGAATCTTGGTTCCATTCTCATTATGAAAAAAAAAAAAAAAAAGGTTGCACTAGTTTCTCCGAGCACTTTTATCATTATTATTATATGAAGGCTTAAAATAAACATGTTTAGCAGCATTGCGTTTTAAAATAAAAAAAGCGAAGCCATGTGTTCATTCATTCTCGTACTGTCATTGAGTATGGCCCGTTTGCGATTAGTTTCTCACAAAACACTTATTTGAAAACGGCTTCAGTGTGTAAGTGAGCGGATGGCACGCTGCGATGGCTCTAGGGGGTCTCCTGGTTTGTCTCTTCGTTTCCTGGTCGTATTCGCGAAACACTTGAGGGTCACTTAACATATTGCGCAGAGACGTTAGAGAATACGTCAATTACTCCAACAAATGAAAGTTTTCAGTCCGCAGATGGAGGTAAAAGAATCCTTGTCTTGGGGCTGGACGGTGCTGGCAAAAGTAGCCTCTTATTGCAATTGTCAAGACCAGATGGGACTTCGGCACGAACGCAGCGTACTGAAGGCTTCAACGTGGTCAGCATTAACTCTGAGAACTTTTGGGAATGTAAGTTTTTGTCCATATTTCTGTTGATCAGTTTCTTGAGTAACAATTGAAGAGGTCATATGTGATCTCTAATTAATATTGTTCTGATTGATATTGTGTCTAACAGACACTTCATCATTTATAGTGTGGGTCTCATTCTGGCATGCTTGATGCTTTCAAGTAGTATATGAGGGATTATTGGCCAGCTGTCAACTTGTAATTAGATCACTTGCTACGTGATGCCTACAAGGAAAGGAGGAGTGTTCCACGCTCGCCATAGTGGCTACTGGCGGTGCTCACTGACACTCCTTCGTTTAAATTTAAATGCACATATACACCCTATATAGTGTACGGATGGATGACAGCTTCGTGGCTCAATGGTTAAGCATCAGACGCATTAGTTAAAGGTCACAGGTTCGGTTCCTGCTGGTGGCAAGTCAGCTTTTGGTCCACTTTTTCTTCACATGTACATTACAATTACTTCTAATAATGTCCCCTATACTTTCCCTGGCATCATTTTTCATTAGTTGTCACGAAAATAGCACAATGGGAAAAGTTGAAAACTTAATGACGCCACACGGCGACATAGAGCGAGCTTGCTATGTTTAACTAGGCACAAGAGACGTGCAAGAAAACTTTTTGGTTCTGCTATGAGGCGCCAGCTTTACAGAGAAAGGAGGAGGTTAACAGAGAAGGGAAAAACATTAATCACAAGTCCAAAAGCACATCGAGATAGTCAAGGCAGCGCTGAGAAAAAATGCCAAACTCCGCCCCATGAAATGCGTCTTTGACTCTCATGCCCTCGGAAATTGGCAACAGAAAAGCATGCCTAGACTCTCGTTACATGCAGATAGTACTCCAGAAGAAATTCTGAACTAGTATGCTGTCACTGCGAAAATCTCTTATCCACAAATTTCAGTGATACAATAAAGTGGATGGCACACGTTGTAGCTTCTAATTATGCAGTTTTTGAATAGGGTGTGCAAAGCTTTGTGCTAGTCTTTGTTGCCACTGTGCATGCGTCATATGCTACATATGCTACAAATGCTATCTTTCAGCCCCCTATTACAAAAGTGGCTACTGCTCATGCGTCTGAACGTCGCCACCTTACGTACTTAGGTTAAGTGGCAAAAATGGAATACATGCCCAACTAATGCTATCTTTGCGTACCCTATTCTGAAACTGCTTATTACGTGGACTCGTAGCTCAAGCTAAATGTGTATCTTGAAGCTAGACTTTGTCAAGTGGCCTTTTATTTACTGAATTTTTTTTTATTTTACTGAAATTTGGACAACAAAATAAAAACACTGTTTCCACTCATGTTTGTTCGAACATGAACAGAAACCATGACCTGCATTTATGCAGCTTTTACATGTATGCTTAATTAATTCGGCAGTCACAAACTGTTAAAACATGTTGCGCATGCAAACCGTGGTGCAACATTTGCAGCACATTTTTTTTTATTTGTCTTGTTTTTTGTATACCGAGCGCTAATGCATTAAAAATGAACCTACCTTCGAAAAGAACAGAAGCCAATGGTTTGTGGAGTCTGCAAATTCAAAGACAACTTATTGCACATCAATATAACCAGGTCTGTCTTATGAGCACAGAAGAAAGGAAGCTGCGAGAGTGTCCCGCGTGCATCTTTCCGCAGGGAATGCTACAGGACTAGGCCTAACAGTCCGTCACCACAACATTCTCTCCCCAGAGACATACTTACATTGGGGTCCGTAAGTTTCGCCTGCAGCCAGGTATCACAATAACAACACAACTCGAAACGAAGGAACAGAGGGCATGACCGGTGAGCGCTCCTACACATGCAGAATCGACGAGCTCAACTGACATTGCAGATGCAACAGCCACACAGATGTATAGAAATTCAATTTCCTTGATGAGGCAGTTAGATAATTATTGCTGTGAGTAAATTACATAATGTTTACTAGTTAACAAACTTTGAAGTCTTCATGATTGCTGATGCAATGTCTTTAAATAGTCTTTAAATGGTGAATTAATTTGAATTAAATTAATATGGTTTTTAAAAGTGTGTTTTCTAAACATAACCAAAAACAGACATAATACTGCTTTTTATAATGTTTTTAAAACATCGAAATCTGTTTGTAATCTGCTTTATCCCATTTATTCTTGAACTTGGCATTTTCTATACCATGTTTGCTTACCTGCGCACTATCCACATCATATTAAGGGAACATATTGAAAAATATTGAAAAAATTAATTTTTTTAGTTTTGCGTTATTTCATATATGCGGTCTTTTCTGTACCATAATCAGTCGTTTGTTTGTCTTGGTGGGTTTTTTTTTATTATAAAAATGACATTTCAAAACTTTTGCGGTGATCTGCCGCACCCCCATTCTTATGTAGCAAGGGATTCCTTGAAATTGAAGTGTCATAGTCATATGGAGAGCTTATGGTTTGCAAGGTGGAGGGAATTTGGCACATTCAGAGAAGAATGGGCCTAGAACTGCGAAAACAAAAGAAAGCAGAGGCATCAAGCTTTCTGTAAGGAAATCTATATCTGGCTGGGGACATCTTAGTAGTGCCATCATTGGAAAGCACCAAACTAGTATCGTTGGGCCATTAAAAGAAATAGAGCGAGCTTGGGGGACACGCAAAAACCTGTCCCATATTTTCACACGGCATCACAGGATACCAATCCATCCTACAGTCTTCTGTGTAAATTCAACGAAGCCCAGTTGTGTAGTGAACCATTCATTTATAAAGAACAGCCCCGCCACGGTGGTCTAGTGGCCAAAGTACTTGGCTGCTGACCCGCAGGTTGCGGGATCAAATCCCGGCTGCGGCGGTTGCATTTCTGATAGAGGCAGAAATGCTGTAGGCCCATGTGCTCAGATTTGAGTGCACGTTAATGAACTCCAGGTGGTCCGAATTTCTGGAGCCCTCCACTACGGCATCTCTCGTAATCATATGGTGGCTATGGGGCATTGACCCCACATATCAATCAATTTATAAAAAACACCTTCCAGCATTTCTCATTGAGGCTGTTAAGCCAAATTATCCTGACCTAGCTCATCCAGAATTACTTGTCCAATGTCTCTATGGGAAAACAAAACCCTAACAACTCGAATGGTCATGTGGGTGTGCACTCGATTGATTGATATGTAGGGTTTAACGTCTCAAAACCATCGTACGATTATGAGAGACGCCATAGTGGAGGGCTCCGGAAATTTCGGCCTCCTAAGGTTCTTTAACGTGCACCCAAATCTGAGCACACTGGGGTGTGCACTCCAGAAAACGTTTTATTGTGATAGCAATTATATGGACACTCTTGACTGGATTTTCCACCGGCGTTGGTGACCACCGTCATTCACCATATATGTGTATGTATGTATGTATATATATATATATATATATAATGAGATATAACAGACAGTAATGCCAAGGAATGTACAGGGGAAGTTCCACTTTTCTTTCTTCTTATTTACATTCCATTAATGTTAATAACTTCCCCTGTACATTCCTTGGCATTACTGTCTGTTATATCTCATTATTATTGTGTTAAAAACACGGAAAAACGAGCCCTTAGGTATACACTTCTTTCCCTTATTTCATTGAACGAGGGTCTCGTACTGGCAGACTTGGTGTGTTTAGGTTGTATAAGAGGGACAATTAATCAGCTGCCCGCTCATAATAAGTTCACGTGCTACGTGACGCCAAACATGCGCATAAGAGTGTTTTCACACTCGTTGTTTGGCTTATAGATGGCGCTGACTGTCGCTCCTACTTCTAAATTCACAGATAAACCCAAAAAAGTGGATGGAGGGAGGGCCGCTGTAATAGCTCAGTGGTTAGAGCATCGAACGCGTAATTCGAAGGTCATAGGTTCGATTCCTGCTTACAGTTGGTAATTTTTTCATCCACTTTTCTTTCTTCTTATTTACATTCCATTAATGTTAATAACTTCCCCTGTACATTCCTTGGCATTACTGTCTGTTATATCTCATTATTATTGTGTTAAAAACACGGAAAAACGAGCCCTTAGGTATACACTTCTTTCCCTTATATATATATATATATATATATGAAGACGCAAGGAAGAAAATAACCCAGAGAAAGACTCCGGCACGCGGAATCGAATATCTGACCTCTCTTGGTTGTGTAGTAACGTTGGTTGCGAGTGCGTGGCGTTGACCACTCAGCCACAAAGGAGCACCTCCTTCAACGTTGAAATGGCAAGCTATTTATATCTACCACTTTCCGCTGGTGATCAAGATCTTGGGGGAGCTATCATGTTTTCAGCATTACCAGTGACATGGCACAATGAGCGCGCATCGCCAGATCGTCACGACGCGGCAATACACTGCACTCGCTGCTCAGTCACCGTTTGGGAAAAGGGTGCGCTTTTCAAACACACCGAAGTAAGAACTGAGACACTAATTCGTGTTCATCTGTACCTGTGAGTACGTTTCATGTGTCATTTGTGCGTGAGAAACACGTGGCACGTTTTGATCTGCTTATCATTCCTCTCGTGACCTTCCAATTTGTTGCCATCGCATTCTTTCGCCTTTGCGGCAAAGCTCTGACTTTTTTTTTTTTTTTTTTCAGACATCAAACGCTGAAAATATGCACTCATCATACTGTTCTCACGTAATGATGGCAATATAGCCTATGTGAATATACTGAACTCCTTTAGAATTTCGTCGGGGCACTGCCCAACGCGTACGCACCCTTGACCTGTGTCGACAGTATTTTGCTGACGGGGCTGCTCAGCAGGCAACAAAGGAGGCTCGCCAGGCTAGACGCTTCAACACAATAAGAACATTTTATTGGTGATAAGTATGTGCCTAGTGCCTACTGAACGAGCCTGTCAATTTGCTGTTATCTCATTGTGCCTTTCTAATTTACATTATTAAATTTCAATGCAATTATCTCAAAACATGCTTTTTTTTACTTATGTTCCTTTATCTTGCCAACCACAGTATCTAGAATCGTAGATTTTGGCCAGTATTTAGATAATGTAATAAGCAATATGCTGGAACAGAATTATTGATGCCTGGTTAAGTGCTCTTTTTCAACATGACATCTAAAAGCTATTACCAAGTGATAAGTAGCTGAAGTAAAACAAAAATTTAATTAGTGTTACAAGTTTCAGCGTTAAATCTGCTTCAATAAAAAGAGCAAAAGCTTATGAATACAATGATAGTAATAAAAAAATTTACTGTAACTCTGATGATTATCGAGAAAATGTACATAAACTTTGCCTAATATACATGGCATAATATAGGGCTTACTCTGTTCCTTTAAACTAATGAAATTCCTTTTTGGTATGTAAAACATGCTGTGTTACAAGATGTGCTTTCAATTGGTATTGAACTTGATTTCGAGTGAATTTTACAGGGGTGCAGCAGTAGCGCCAACTTGATACAATTACCCATTTTTACGCTAAGTTGCACGCCAAAAGCATGAAATTTGCTGAAATTGCGCCATGTTACTCCAAAACAGCCAACCAGTCTCAAAATTTTCTTAGTTGTAGTAAATTCAGCGAAAAATGGGGGCCACATTGCCCGTCTGTATTTCCGTTCCAAGCACGCAGACTCTAACCTTACAGCACGATAACCTAACCACGCAAACCTTAAAAACCTTAAACCACGCTAACCTTAATTCTATTAGGTCAGGGCACTTGTGAGGTGCAATGGACCAGATCAAGTAACAAAGCCGTGCGCCCATTGGTCCGCTGACCACAGCAGATACCTCTCGGTGGGCCAACGCAACTTCAACAAAAAAAATGCTTGCTGTAGCCATCAACGCTTCCCGGGAAATATTAACTCTCTGGGCAACAAAAGCAGCTATGGCATGTTAACAACTAAAGCTGGGAGTGCATATCGTGTTTTCCGTGCGCAAATAGAGTTGTGTTGCGAACGCCGCCATTGCCGGCAACCAGGTTGGTTGCCATAGCAACGGCACATAAACGTGTTTTCTGTCTTGCAGTTGCGTTATTTGCGTGGTCCCAGCGATCCGGCGCTGTTGCCGAACCATCGAGCGTGCGCCGTCCTTACTTTATCAGGTAGAACGCGCCTTGCAAGTGAGCCAAGATATTGTGCCCTAAACCTAACCCCCATCGTAAAAAAAAAGGGGGGGGGGGGGGGTGGCATAGTGGTGTTCGAAAATTTCTTGGCCTCGTTTCTAACCCGTGCAGAACGCTGTTTAAGCTACCTTTGCCGCAGTACATTGGCGCCCTGTGGGAAAGCGTATTGAGATTTGGAAGAGCTGTTGCATTACTCACAGGACACAGCACATTTTGTTGAATTACTCATTCCTGTATACTATGGCATAATTGTGAGCGCTAGTATGATCGTTCACATCTAAAAAAGCTCTGGCAATAATGTGGAGCAGTGTACGACACTTATGCCGTCCTAAATAAAAAGAAAAGTGTGCGCCAGTTTTTTTTTTCGCCGCTCCTACTCTTCACTTTCACGAATACCTTGAATTTCAATGTCGCCGACTTGGCAGATCTACATTTGGATTGCAGTAGCACAGATCATTAGGCTAGTTCTAGTGCCCGTGTTTGTGTGCGCGCCCTTTTTCATTTAAAAGATACATTGGAATTCACGGGTTCTCTCAAAAAATTTTGACAGATGTGGCAAAAGCTAATGTGGACTTTATCATTATTTACTCAGTGGGATGGCTCAAAATACTAGTTTTATTAAATTAGCAGTGCTCATGTTTACTCTGCACAATTTAGGTGATGCTGAATGCACGGGTGGTCGAAATTTCCGGAGCCCTCCACTACGGAGTCTCTCATAATCATATGGTGGTTTTGGGACGTTAAACCCTACATATCTATTGAATGGATTGCACATACTTTTTTATTTTCTAAATGTAAGCCTTCTTTTTTTATACTGCTCCAATTTGCATTTTAGTGCTTCAAAAGTAAGATTTTGCTGCTTCGAAAATTGCTCCAAATTCTATTTTGCCTGTTGCACCCCTGATTTTAGAAAACTTTATTACGATGAGCAAGATTTGAATTCAAGCATGATTGAAAAATGTCCATGTGGCAGTACTTAGCATGCTTATGCAGCAAGAGTGTTGCACGCATTGCTTACTGGTTTAGTGCTTGTCAAGCTGTTGGTGAAATAACACTTGCATAAGTAACAGCTGTAATTTCCAAATAGTAGCATTTTTAGGCATTGGAACTTGCAAGGAAATAACATAGTTTCTTCTTTCCTCAGTGGGTGGTTCGGCAACAATGCGACCGTACTGGCCCAACTTTTTTCCTGGTACAAGTGTTCTTGTGTACATGGTGAACTCTGCTGATGGCCAGCGACTACGCTCTTCTGCTCATGAGTTCCACAAAATCTTGGAAGATGAGCGGCTGAAAAATGTGCCCATTCTTGTACTTGCCAATAAACAGGTCTGTATAATGCACCCCATTTGTGCGTTGATCCTGCGCGAATAGTGCTAGGGATTTCGACCAGCCTTTTTACATAAACCATTGAAGCAATGGCTTAAAAGTACAGCACATGATTGAAGGGCTTGAAATTGTTTCTGCTGAGGTGTCATTTTGGAAAATAGCTATGTTTGCATTACTCATGCAATGCATTAATCTTGATATTTTATTACAGTGGTTGTAAGTTGTTAGCGTTTGCAGACTTCCTAACCACTCGGAGGCATTTGAACTCCATAATTATGACATTCCAAAGAAAGAGCGTGCAAAGGAGCTTATTGTGGTGTGCTATGTGAATTACATAAGCATTGTATTAAGTTTTTAGCTTCAGTGATAAAAACAAAGCCAGAGAGTGTTTATTGATAAAAAATAATCAGAATAATTAGGTATATGTAATAAAAGGCCATTATTGCAGCCATCATGGATATATGTTCCCAAAAGTTCAGCAGTAATATGCATAAATCACTCTGCAATGGAATTTCCAAAATGCAGAACACATGATTTGACAAGATATTGCAGAAATGTTCTTTCCATCGCCAGTATAGTCGACTCCTGACAACTCGCACTTTTAGTTAGTTGCTATGTGTGTATTTAAAAGCCACCTAAATTAAACTGTTTCACTGCATGGTTTTGGTTAGTTCATACTTTTTGCTTGTCTGTGCTGAAAATATCTGGTGCTTTCATTGCTTCTAGCTCAATAATTTCTTTATGTTGCAGACAAGTGCAGGTAAAGCGAATTAGCTGCCCACAAAGTGGCCAAACTGCATGCACAATCTCATGTTGGCTAAGAAAGAAGAGAAAAAAAAAGTCTATCTGGCCGATCACATGCTGAATTCGTCTCAGGTTATTTTTTACTCAATACACTGTTCTCATGTTGAAAAGCATGCTATGATTGGGAAAGGGCTACTAACTGTCATGGGTAACAGCATATTCTTTCCCCTTAATTTCACACTGTGCATAACATGTACCATTATGATTGCTTATGTAAGAAAACTTTAGTGGCAATCATGCAGCATTGTATACAAGTTCGATTTGGCTATGAGAAACAAACATTGCAACACAAGTTGGTATGTTGCCCCCGAGTCGTATATGAGAGACCTGAAAATTCAAACTTGGAAAGAAAATCCTGAGGGTCACTCGAGCTTGAATGATTGAGGGCCTGCCATACAAAGTAGGTCTGCCCCTTCTGATTTCCTGCTTTTAACAGAACTATGACAGCTTAATGCATAAGCTAAAAGCATCATGTTAATTGAAACATGTTTATGAGAGGTCTTTTAAACTGAGCATTTCATTTGGTTTTCTTGTTTAAGGAGTTAAAATGGCCATTAGAGCTGTGCGAATAGCAAAATTTTTGGGTGCAAAGTAAACTCGAATATTAATGTGCGAGTGCAAATCAAATAAATATTTTCCCAGTATTTCTTGAATATTTCTAGAATACTTTTTAATAGTTTGAAGTGAAACTGCAGGGGAAAAAAATGTTGGAGAGTATTTCTAAGCATATTTTTATGAGATATAGCAACATGAAACTGTTTATTTTTGCAAGGTTGATGGAGCACTTTCGGGATGGTATTTCATAGTATGATCCAGAATGAAACATCAGGGACCAAATTGTATTACTCGATGATTTGGTTCAAAGTGTCGCCGACAACACTTTACAAGTGAAAGGCAAAGATACTATTTCCTCAGCCTCCCTTCCTCTTTCAACTTCTGTGGAAGCGCAACTGACATGGCGGACGAAGGTGTGCTCGCTTTTAGCAGAGTTCCAAATCTGACTCGTATACGTCAACATGCAAGAACATTTGATATTCCAGATGCTAAAGATCCACGGTGTCCGATTTTTTTGGACTTTCTATGGAAAATTCAGGTCCAAAACACCCTTAATTAGGCCCCTATCTTTGCCACATCTATCATCTCTATGTCGGAACCAGCGTTTTCTAGAGTCAATACATTTGTGAGCGTAGCGAAGCCTGAAAGGCAGCTTTGCTGCAATATGGGAGTGTGACGAGGTTAAGCATCGAAAAATACGAAAAGGCCACTTTCAATTTGGCGTTGACTGTGTTTGTCTTTGGGAAGTTCAAATAGTAAATATTTCGGTGCAAATCTAATCAAATAGCAAACACTATTCGAAAAATATTTGAAATTTGTAATCTAATATTCGCTTAGCTCTACTAGATGTGTTCTATCCTTATTGGGACAGGGGTCAGTTTATTTATATTGAGTTGTGTGCATAGTCAGTGAAGCTTACGACTACTTGTTTTGCAGTTCAGAACATCATCATTGTTCATATTTGTCCATTTAGCTTGCTTGTTTGTTTTTGCTATTAGTTATGTAGCGTCAAAAGGTCTTATGTGGAATGTTCACAGCATTAAAAAAGACTGCACTTGATGCACTACACTGAACTAAAAGACTGCACTTGATGAAATTACAAAATATTATAATCTGCAGAGGCATGTTTACCCACCACCTCACCCTAAATTCAATATGCACAGTCTATTCAATGGAGACAATTATAAACCAGGTCCGATAAGAATCCAGCACTACTACATGTCACGTATCCAGAGATCTGCACGACCAATCGATGCAATAACTGTCAGGCACTAGCTTCTTTTGAACATATCTTATGGGAATGCCAGGGATGAAAACATGGTAATGAGAAAATGGTTTTTACCGACAGCCTCCGTACACATTGTCGAGCTGCGCTGCTTAGTTCAGCCCTGGATGATCAGCTCTGGCAATCCAGCTGGCCGAGGAAGCCGCTAGGAGGCAAGACCTAGCGTACTCCAGGGCTACGTCTTGACTGGTGCAACATTTTCTAGCTCATTGCTGTGGTGAATTAGTAATTAAAGGCATCAACAAACATTACCACTTGCTCTTCTAAAACGGAATATTGAGGCTCTTTTTGCACTTGCAGTCATAATGCTCAACAGCTAAATTACAATAGGGCTGCTCCTATCATCATGGATAACTCTTGTGCAGGTGTAAACCCTTTGCTATACATCGATTGCATGAGACAGGTTTGATACCTTTAGATAGCATACAGGGGCATATAGGCCAGCTTGTCAGTTCGTAAAATATCACATGCTGCACAATGCAATCTGAAAAAAAGACGGTTTGACATCTGGCATAATGGGCGAGTGGCACTCACTAGCACTCCCTGGGTTACAAGTGTTAAAGTAACCAAAAAATTGGTCAGAGGAACGACCATAGCCGTAGCTCAGTTGCTAGAGCATTGCACTGGTATCATGAAGGTCCTGGGTCAATTCCCCACTGGCAGCAAGTTTTCTGTTCACTTTAATTTATTTCCTACTTACCTTGTACTTTTCAAACTTTGAATGAAAGCAAGTAACACCCACTATGCTTTCTTTGGCTTCATGTTTTTGTCTAAAAATATAAACGTGCCCCCGATCCATTTCCTTTGAGGAAAATGCAAAGCATCAAAAAACACCAGCATTAAGAGAGCTGGTGTGTCCAGATTTGACCATGCCGTAGTTTTTAAATTTGTTTCCCAATTTATCAATGACATTACTTTTTTTTCTTTATCAGCACACGTGACAAATAGTGCAGGCTAGGAAAAACTGTGCAGCTAGTTAGGCTTATGTCCATGTTAGAGTGAGGAAATACGAGCTCACACTAACATGTTCTAGACAGGCTGCACTCTAAAACACTTGCACCCTTGTGGAGTCTTTGTACTCATCACACTTGCTTTTGTTTTCTTGAAAACACTGTGCTCACCACTTTGTTATGAAAAATAAAATGTCACGCTGTTGGTGCACAGTTTGGTTGTGGCCTGAAAGTACTGGGCTTGCTGTGTTAAAGCATGGTAATACACTAGGTAGATCACAATTATAGTTGTTGTAAGACAAGACAACACTTCAAAGGGTGCAAGCTATTTTTACGGTGTGACATTACACTCTTCACAATTCTTTAATATCATTTGTAAACCAAAAATACACTGGTTTTCAATGTGAGCACAGAAACACCCACGCATATTTTTCTAATATAAATACGAGAAGCCTCGCAGCCTTATATGTAACTCGGCAGCACTTCATTTGTGAGAAGCCATGTTGCACGTCTAGAATGATAATGCTGATCTTGATTTTTGCTTGCATTGAAAACAGTTTGATTCAGCTTTAAACCCTTTTAAAATTGACCTGAATTGATCTATAGAACTTGACTTCAATGGAGTTCACTGTCTGCTTTGTTGGATGCCACGCAGTGGCAAGCCTCAAGACCTTTTTGGAAATAAACCTTTCGGGGAGAATTCCCATGTATGGTCTATGATTTGAGGAGAATTGGCTTGAATTCTAGTTGGAAAAGTGCTTGTACTTGACGTGGAGCTCACTGCGGTTTGTTGTGCATTTTTCAGGATCTACCGGGAGCTAAAAGTGTCGAAGATATATCCACTGCACTTGGGCTAGATGAATTGAAGCAGCTCAACTTCGATGTTCACATTATGCCTCTGCAGATGCCACCAGACTCAAGTTGCCGAAGCACTGCTGCTGAAGCAAAGCACAAAATTCTTCAGTTGTCACGAGGATGCAGTCGTACCTTGTCACTGTAAATCTTGGCACATGGTAGACAACATAGCCTAACTTATTCCCACTTAATGGTGGCAGAGTGCACAGTACAGCTAGATCTGAAGAGTTTGCAGTCGGCTCTGCTTTTGCCAGCTAAGGACGATACGGTGCAGTCAGGTCACTGGCCACAATGTGATGGTTTAATCTAGAGTACAAATGGTGCAGGCAGCTTCAGCTGAGTAGAGTACTGGTTATACAATCTACTTGCCAGCTGTTGTATGAAGCAGAGACCGTGACTTGCAAAAACATAGCCCCTCAATTTCCCATGTTTATAACCAAGTTCACTGCAATGGGCTTGTGATTGGAAATTCATGTAAGCACCAGCTATGTAGTTGAAATTATTTTTCTATCATTCCACTTTTTGTATGCAAGTAATGTTTGTTTGAACTTGTGTTTACAAATGGCAGCTTTGCAAAGAAACTGAAGGTGCCAGTTAACGTATATTTGGCCCAAGTTTACTTAACTGTGTTGAGTACTTTGTAATAAATATCTTGGGTCTGAAACGTATCCATTGTGTTCATGATTTGGTGCATGGGGTTATGAAACACCAGTATGTTTAGGCCATCAGGATGTCCATGCTGCATGAGCAATGTTAGTCTTCCTTTGTCCAGAGGTTATCTATCAGCTCTGTAAAGCTTGAAGACAATGCAACCAGCAATGTTTATTAAAAGATGGCACACAAGAGGCATTCCGTGTGTAAAGTTGCTACACATTCTATTTTGTATCTGCTACTGTGGCAACACAAACTGTCAGGATGCTAGGTTTCTGCAAGTATTCAGATTGAGAGGTATTGTCTTAGCAATGCCTCCTCTACAAAGGTACCTGCCAGGTGAGCCAAAAACTGCCTGCCCTTCCCTTCTCCTCCATCCTCGTTTCTAACAGAGGTGGTTGCTGGCAAATTTTGCAGTGGCTGCTTGCTACACCCATATGCGCATGCGCACACAACCCTTAACGTGATACTACCATCTTAACCCTATTGAAAAGAATGACTAGAATGTGACGCCATGCTTCGGCAACCGACAACAACTCAAGGCAGCACGACTACAATGGGATAGCAAGCGACACCACAGACATCTTTTTAGAGGATGCATTGGTCTTAGCTACCAACTACATAGTGCAGGGCCTCCAGTGTTTGCAACAAAGTATAATTGCTATGTACCCATTTAAAATGTGTAAATTAGTGCATGGCTTTATTGCACAGTATGTTGGGTGTATGCAGGCATAAAGTTTCCTAATATTAACTAGAGGGGACTCTGGTGCTGCAATCGTTCAGCGACCATGGGAATGATGGGTAGTACACATATTCGCCTAGTCTTCGTACTTGCGGGCGGCAAATCGTACTTGCACCTTCGTTTATTACTATGTTTCGGTTTCGTTTTGAAAAAAGATTCAACCCTTTTGAACCTCGTGACCTGATTTGAGAAGGTGAGTCTAAAAAAAATGAAATGGTGAAGCGCAATCGCTGAACATTTGCGAATATTTGTTTCGTAAAAAAACAGCTCCAAGCCACATGTACACACATGAAGCTAAAAAGAGGCCAAAATGACGAATATTAGACAAATCCATGTACTACCCATCATTCCCATGCTTGCTGAAGCGCCGTGCGTTGCACCTCCCATAGACACTAGCGCCAGAGTTCCCTCTAGTGTATACTGTATTAGGAAACTCTATGTATGCAGGAATTCAGAGTCTCGCCTCAGAACAGATACTCGGCTTTTATTGAGGAAACCAGCCTTAGCGTTGATGCAATGAATGATAATCAAGAACAGGTACTCCACTCTTATTAAAGAAACCGGCTTTGTCAGATTATCATTCATTGCATTAACGCTGAGTATCATTACGGAGTATGCAGTGGAACTGGGAGGTACGGTAGTTAGACAGGACACTAGCAAGCTGCCCCTTGAGACGAATAACCTCGTTAAAGAACGCCAAAGCACGAAAGCCTCAAACACAACATACAAAATGGAACTGGCAGAGATTTCAAAGTTGATTAATAAGCATAAGGTTTCTAATGTAAGAAGGTATAACATGAAGAGAGTTGAACATGTTCCAAAAAAACGGAACAAGTGTCAAAGTGACGAAGAGGAAATTTGGGATAGGCAAAAGCCAGATGTATGCACTAAGGGACAAGGAAGGCAAAGTAACTAACTACCAATATGGATAGAATAGTTAAAATAGCAGAGGAGTTTGTAAGAGATCTGTACAGTAGCCAGCACAACCATGACCATAATGTAAGAAATAGCAGTAACCCAGATGACATCCCACCAGTAATGACAGAAGTTGAGAAAGCCTTGGAAGGAATTTAAAGAGAGAAAGCTGCTGGTAAAGATCAGGCAACATCAGATCTGCTGAAAGCCAAAAGACAGATTGCGTTAGAAAAACTAGCCACCCTGCTCACGAAGTGTCTCCAGATGGGAGAGGCTGTACCAGAATTTCTGAACAATGCTAACACGATCTTAATCGATAAGAAAGGAGAGGACAAGGGCTTGAAGAATCACAGGCAGATCAGCTTGCTAGAAGCTATTTATAAAGGTAATTGCTAACAGAATTAAAACAACATTGGTATTAAATCATTCAAAGGAACAAGCAGGATTTTTAATGGCTACTCAACAATCAACCTCATTAATCATGTGATAGAGAAATGCTCAGAATACATCCAACCACTATGCACAGCCTTCATAGATTACGAGAATGCATTTGATTCGGTAGAGATATCAGTAGACACTGCAGAATCGGGGCGTCGACAAAACATTTGTAAACCTACTAGAAGAAATCTACAGAGGATCAACTGCCACTATAGTGCTCCATAAAGAAAGTGACAGAATACCAATAAAGAAGAGTGTAAGACAAGAGGATACAATCTCCCCAACGCTATTTACCATGTGTTTACAGAAAGTTTTCAAAGGCCTAAAATGGGAAGAGGTAGGGATAAGAGTTAATGAAGAGTACCTTGGCAACCTGTGCTTCGCGGATGACATTGCATTGCTGAGTAACTCTGGGGACGAAGTGCAATTCATGATTACTGAATTAGACAAGGAGAGCAGAAAAGTAGGCCTTAAAATTAATCCGTAGAAAACGAAAGTAATGTACAGCAACCTTGGAAAGGAACAGCACTTCAAGATAGGTAGCAGGGCACTTGAATTTGTAAAAGAGTACGTCTACTTAGAACAGGTAGTAACTGCAAAGCCGAACCGCGAGGCTGAAGTAACTAGAAGGATAACAATGGGGTCAAGCACATTTGGCAAGAATTCTCAAATCATGAATGGTAGATTGCCACTATCCCTCAAGAGGAAGGTATATAACAACTGCATTTTGCCAGTACTTATTAACGAAGGAGAAACGTGGAGGCTTACAGAGAGGGTTCAGCTTAAATTGAAGACGACGCACTGCATTGAGATGTCAGGCTCTAGCATCAGTTGTTTCCAATACTACACCATCGCTTTCTTCATAAAAGTCCTTCTCAACAAATTAAAAGCAGTGCCTCACTTGGTGCCCATTTTTTAGTTGGCGATTTATTGCTCGAGTAAACTGAGGGCTAGCTAATGTATATGTATGCTGCTAGCAAGAAAAGTGTGTGTGTGTGTGTGTGTGTGTGTGTGTGTGTGTGTGTGTGTGTGTGTGTGTGTGTGTGTGTGCGTGCGTGTGCATGTGTGTGTGTAAGGGCTCGTTTTTTGGTGTTTGACACAATATTAATGAGACCTAAGAGACAATCATGCCAAGAAAAGTATAGGGGAAAGGAAAGTATATCTCATAGCAGCTTTCAGTGTAAAATTACTAGTATAACTTGTTTCTGCAAACCAGTATTGGTTATGGTACCTAGGAATTCGATGTATCAAGAAGTTGGGACACATAGCTAGCTTTATTTCTGCGATTTCTTCCTCTGGTAGGCAAACAAAATGTGCACAGCACTTGGTTTGCTTTTTCAGTGTTTCCATTTATAGCCATATTGCTGCATGATTTATGCCAAACTTTCGTTTTGCCTGCTGTGATAGCTTAAAGAATAATGATGCAAGCAAGACCTTTATAATCATAATATTACAACATAAATATATGCATTGCAATAAGGTGTCAAGCTGCTAAGCTTGAAGATGTGGGTGCAATGTAAGAACACCCATGTACTTGATACAGGTATATCTTAAAGAACACCAGGTGGTAAAAATGCTTCATAATAGTGTGATTTCGGCATGTAAAACTCCAATATTACAAATGACACTCTTAGAACACCATGATTGAGTGAGGGATACAAGCAACAGCCTTTGTAATCATAATATTACAACATACATATATGCATTGGAATGATTAAGTGCAGCCTTTGAGTATTTCAAGGGGAAGCTGCATTTTGGAAATTAAAATTTAAAAAGAAGTAAGAAATGTTCTGTTTGGATTCTGCCACTGCTGAATCTAAGTGTTGCCAACCAATTTTGGGTAAATACGCTATGCCAAGGCCAGGATTACCCCTACTTTACCCTACACAACTTTTTTATTACCCCTAGTTTTACGCTACTCTTGAAAACAGTGTCATGTAATGATAACGTGCAGACTACACTGCACAACGTGCTGATGTATGGGGATGGTGAAGTCTGTAACTGCATCAGTGGTTTGAATATTAGCTTTGAAGAAAAATTAAGGAGCACGAAATACAGCAGGTGAGAGAAAAAATAGTTCCTGTATTTGTATGAGAAGAGTGTTGACTCAAAGTTGACAAAAAAATGAGAGACTAATGAGCAAGTATTTGGCTGGCAGTGTGACATGGTAACAAGGATCATTAGGCGAAATGTCCTAGATGCAGTAAAAAACAAAGAAGTTCTGTAGGGGTGGCAGCATTGGAAGGTAAACTGTCTGAGTAGGTACATTAAGGTTAAAGAGAAAAAAAATGCCAGGCCTGCGCGGAAGGCACAGTAGAGTCACAGCGAAAGCTAGAAGAGCAGCCTTTCAGAGCCTTTTCAAAACACTCAATGGGTAACTGCTGCAAGCACACTTGCTTGACACCCACTAGGGCAATAATAATAATAATAATAATAATAATAATAATAATAATAATAAATTTTTTGGGCTAGTAGAACACATTGTACGGTGACTGGTTGTTCTTCTGTTGTTTTAAAATGCTTTATAAGTTGTATTAACGCAATTGCTTTGGCGACATTAAGCCTACCTAAGGCAAGTTTGCCAACAAGCACCAGCATAGCTCAGTGGTAGAATACTGGGCTGGCACCCAGCGGACCTGGGTTGAAGCCCAACTGTGTCGTTGGTGCTTGTTTTTTTTTCTAATTTCGTGCGATGTGGTTACAGGTGGCGGCAATTTCGTGTGATGTGGTTACGGGCGGCGGCGGACAACTGCGCGTGACCAGAGTTGTGATCTCATAACAGCTTTCCCTGTAATAAGCAAGGATACATTTTATGGTAGGGGAAGCACTTTCGTGTTTGAAGGGAGGTTGTGTTGTTTTGGAACATTTAGTTAGAAATCGTGATAAGACGGAGAACAGAAATCTCTCTTCTTTGCTGAATATGTGATAGAAGGTAAGAAAACAACTGAGCATGTTTTAATTGAATGCGGAAATATGCACCCGGGTATATGTTAGGGCACTAGCCTACATGTAGCTTTGGGTTTCAGGGAACACATTGGAAAGGTAAACAGGCCAGCGATAAAAAAAGTAAAAGATTGCAGGATTTAAGGCGGA